AATAATAATAAAGATTAAAAAAAGTCTGTCTCTGACTATTTTAGAGGTTTCACATGTGATTGGATACTAACGAGGCAGTGAGGTCGTTTGGGCCGATGTCCAGCGTACAGGTGCCGTTTTCATTGCAGTGGCGTCCCACCAGGCTGTGTGCATGGACTTGGGCTGGGTCGGTGTGGGTCACCAGCTGCACCTCTACCCGGGCCTGGCCCACATAGTTATTAATCTGAAACACAACACAGACCAGATATAACGATCAAACAGGAAGTTGTTTCGGACTTGTTTCTCCACGTTGTGTCATTGCCTACTTTGACGGTCGGGTAGGTTCTCCTGTTCTTCTCACTGGAGGCCCCTGGGAGCCCACCGTGTGATGGACCCTCACACTCATAACGGAAACGGAAACCCCTCTGCAGGACAAGAGTAGTAAAATGCATCTGCTTGATTTTCAAATTTTAGTCTTTTAGTTCCGCTATTCCTAAAGAGCCAGTCAATTTATTTAGGTCCGCAAGTTCTAAAAGCACATATGCTTAATAAAACGTAGCAGAAGTTAATATAAAGTGCAACATAATCTCCATTTGCCAGAAAACATTCAGGCAAGAGAAAAGTCCGCTCTCTACCACCATCTAGTGGTAAGATTGTTTTCGTTGACAGATTGGCATGTCAGCGCAGAATAGGGAGGTGATTTGTAGAAACAGACTTTTAAATCATGGCTGTAAAACAAAAAATAGTTGTGGATTGCTTGTTTTGCTGCTTCTTGGTCATTTTCTTATCTTTATAGCCGGGCTTCAGTAAGAAAACATGCAGATATATTAGTAATTTTAATGCACCAGACACAGAACAGGAACTCTGTTCTTTTCAAAATGAGAGCATGAATTTAAACTGTTCCGTGTTTCTTTCTTTTCTAATATTTATTTATTTAATATTTATTGCTGCGGTGTTCCTCAGAGAGGAGGTACAAACTGTACAGCTGAGTGTGGTTCTGCAGATCAGAACTGCAGTTAAGATTGCCACTTAGTGAAGAAATTGTTTGCTTCTTGCCTCGCAAAGAATTGTGGGAACACTACAGTGTCAGTGGAAACCATCACTGAGAAGAGTCAGAAGTCAGAGTATAAAGCTCTGTGAACACAATGCAGATTGTTTCCTCACAGTGGAGTGTTACTGTGTAAAGTAGAGATGGCTTTCCCCTTCAATGATCAAGAAAATCATGACAAAGTTATAATGAATTAAGTGGCTACAAGTGGTAGTGAGACTTGATGGCTTTTTAGCTTTGCTGTAAATAAAATTGACATTTGAATGTGAAGCATTATTTGCGATTAGCGCTACTCAATTCTAAATTTAGAAAGCGAAAATCTGCACATCATTTAAAGAAATTAGTAAAACCCCTAAAGCGCAAAAGAGAAATTTAGGGATTAAATTAGCGGATTTGCGCTTTAGGGGACTAGTGCCCACCACTGTGAATAAATATAAAAGCTGTTAATAAATCTCTAACTTTAAACAAAACTATTTAAAGAATCTCTGTTTGGTTATAAACAGATGTGGTTTATTAATTGATAGTGTTTATTGTTTTATTTGGATCCCCTTTAGCTTCCACAGCAGTGGTTGCTAGTTTTCCTGGGGGTCCATAAAATCAAAATACAAAAATACAATTAACAATACATACAATTAAAACGTACATATTCATTTCCATAGAGTTTTAAAAGTTATAAAAGCCTCATAACACCAGCCACTTAATACATCCAAATAAGCAAGTGCAGTCTGCAAAAAAACCTCATCACTCAAACCAATATAACAACATATGTAATACTTTCAATACAATAATTTCTGTTTATATACTTTCTTATAAATGCTTTTATTTTGAATTTCCCATTTATTAGAACAAGACAAATCGTAAAGATATTTGAGAAAGTTTATGGCTATAGAATTTAAAGCTAAATTGCTTTAAAAAGTCCCAAAAGTCCTTTAAATCTCAAAGAAGTGCCATCAGGGTGTAAGTGAACATTTCTGATCTTTTCAAGAACAAATACTAATATAATAATATAAAACCCTAATATAATATAAAACTGTAATGTAATATTAAACCTTAATATAATATAAAACCGTAATATAACATAAAACCGTAATATAATATAAAACCATAATATAATATAAAACCATAATATAAAATAAAAACTAATATAATATAAAACACTAATATAATATAAAATAAAGTCAAACTTTAATGTGCTTAATCTGCTGACTCTTTTCTTGTCTTCTGTCATTTGTTTTTGAAGTAAATGTTGTTAGATTTGTTGGATATTCACAAACCACAGAAAGTAAAATCTTTCTCTCACCTGTTTGGGCTCTTCAATGATCTGAACGTATGGACCGTGAGCTGAAACACAAACACAGGTGAAGTCAACAACAAATACCCTCAACCCAAACTAATGAAACTGTCCTCCAAACGCCCAGCCAGGCAAGGCAGGAGGCAGCCTGCCCAAATCTGGTTCTGCTGCAGGTTTCTTTCTGTTAAAAAGGATTTCTTTCCTTTCCACTGCCACCAATGTGCTGCTCAGGATGAAAGCTGTGATGAAGTGATTCAATATAATGTGCTGGTTTCTTTAGATTGATTGTTTCTTTACATCAAAAAGTAACAATAAGTAGGTCCTCTGGATGGTTCTTCTTTAGTGAAACATTTCGTCTCTCCTCCAAGAGACTTCTTCAGTCTGATGAGTTTCAGGTGAACTCAGACTTATAAGCTTCGCCTCCACCTGGACAAACAGGTTAGTCACATGCAAACGAGGACCATCACTTAACAATAGGCTTGATTGGCTCTATTGTTCATAGAGGGTCATGTGTCCCATCACCTGACCCGTGTCGTGTTATGTGAATGTAGTGAGTGTAAGCGGGGGATTTTAACATCCCCTTGTTTTTGTCCCTCTCTCCCTCTTTGTGTTGTACATGTACCTGTACATGGAGGAAAAGAGAGCTCTGATGTCCGTTTCAGGGGTGCCACCGAGCCATTGGTTCAGATATGTTGACGACACCTGGGTTAAAATTAAAGCCCAGGAAGTCCAACATTTCACTGATCACATCAACTCTGTGGATGAATATATTAAGTTCACACGAGAGGATGTAATTCGATTCAATTCAATTGAAAAATACTTTATTGATCCCAGACGGAAATTAGGTAAAAGATGGCAGGTTGGCGTTCCTGGACTGTGAGGTCTCAGTTTCAGATGGACAGTTGGAAACTGACGTGTATCACAAACCCACCCACACAGACCAATATTTGCGTTTTGACTCCCACCACCCACTGGAACACAAGTTAGGAGTGATCAGGACTCTGTACCACAGAGCAGACAGTGTCCCTACAAACCCAGGAGCCAGGGAGAAAGAGGTCACACACAAGACAGGTTCTGGAGCAGTGTGGTTA